AAGTACATAACCTTATATCCTTTTTATGAGTGAGGATATCCCAAAAAAAATAAAACATAAGCTTTGGATTTAGGAAAAACTTATTAGGACAAAGCAAAACCTTGGTAGAACATAAACAACCGAACACCTTTAACTAATTTAGAGTTGGAGGTTTATAAAATAAAAGATGAAAATGAGTTTTACCATGAAGAAGAGGTGCAAGATTTTTTTTATGATATAAGTGGATGTTAGAACACAATCTCCCTAAAATTGAATAAGAATGTTAGATTGAAACATTATGGCTTTAGTAATATTCAAAAAATGTCGATGTTTTCTCTCCACAACACCATTTTTGTTATGAAGAATAAGGAACAATAGTTTCATGAGGAATACCATCAAAAGAGAAAAAGCTTGACAAAAATGTTGAAGAAATTCAAAACCCTATTTGACCTTACTCTCTTAATTGGATAAAAGAATTATGAAAGAACAAGAACACAAAAAATTTATAGTAATTTAAGTGCTTGAGATTTAGTTTTCATAAGGAATGTCCAAGTTCCTCTAGAAAAGTCATCGACAATGGATAGAAAATACTTCTCTTTATTATAGGTAGGATGTTAATAGGGTTCTCATTTATCAATATGTATAGGCTCAAACAAGGAATGTGTAATGGATAAACTATGTGGAAAAAGCATTCTAGTTTGTTTTACAAGAGGACAAATGTCACAAAACAAATCATGAGGAGATGAAATTGAAATATTAGGAATCAAATTGAGTTGAGAAAAAGAAATATGTCTAAGTCTTTTATGCCAAAGTTCTACGTCTATAATGCAATTTGTTCCTATACTAGCTCTATTGCAAAGAGTATTATGTGATTCTAAAAAAAAAAAAGATAATTTGGTTCCCGAATGTATAGAGATAGAAGAGATATGATATGAATTAGAAGAATGTGGCATGGAAGTGAATGTATTTTGGCTAGACATAATGAAGGCCATCTCTAATTTTACTAATCCTCTTTGTCTTCCTATTTTTGAGGTCCCGAAAGAGAAAGAAATGAGGATGAAAAAAGACTAAGCAATTATTATCAATAGTGAATTTAGCCACCGATAATAAATTGAATTTGAATTTAGGTAAAAAAAGAACATTTTGAAGGATTACGAGCGAAAAAGAAACAACACATCTATGAGTAACTAGAACTTTATTGCTATTTAGTCTAGCAGTAAAATTAGATGCTAATTTCCTCAAATTCTTTAAGAAATTGAATTTACCAATCATAACAACATTAGTCCTAGTATTAGCTATCCATTCATCATCAATGGGATCAACATTAATAAGACCACAAAAGAATTCACCAACCATGTTTGCAACAAACTCAATCCTTTGAGTATCCTTTTTGGTATTCACATCTTTTGACAATAAATCCAATATTTGTTTATATTGATGTTGAGAAAAAAATTGTAGGTGATGTATTTGCTGATTGTCCTTTAGAACTTGATTTTGTCACGAGTACCCATTTATGTTTCTATAAAACCATTGAGATGATACATACCTTCATATTCCATATGGTCGGCATTGTTTACATTAAAAAATCTTTGTCTATCTCCACCAAAATTAGATACACCCCACCTCTTCTTCCTCTCGTTTTTTTTTTTTTTTGATAAAATCTCTTATTTTCATTAGGATAACCATGTCACTTCTAACAATTATTATTTATATGTCTAGAAATATGGTAGTAGTCATAACCAATATCCTTTCGCTGATTACCTTTCTCAAAAAATTACTTTGTTGGCAATGAATTTTTTGGTGGAATAAAATATAGTAGGCATTTCTTAATGTGGATAAATTCCTCTTTGCAATTCTTTATTTGAAACCATAGAGTATGCTTGTGAATGAGTGGAATGAGGATTCATTAATAAAATCCGAGACCTAACAATTGAAATTGATCATTCAATCCTATCAAGAATTGCATCACCTTATGTTATTATGTGTGCTCAACAAAAGGTTATGAAACTTCACTTTTGCATCTTGAACATACATAGGTGAGTATAGGAATTAATGAATTATACCGATCCCAAAGGTTCCTTAACTTTGAGTAATAGATTGCAACACTATCGAACCTTTAACCAAAGAATTAATCTCTTTATGTAAAGCAAAATTTTTTGCTCCAAGTTGTTTATTAAATCTTTCCTTAAGATCTTTCCAAACTTCTTCAACAAATTGATAATAGACTAATCCCTTGAATAGTTATGTAGAAACCGAATTCAATAACCAGTCATGAACTAAAGCATTACATTTCCTTCATTATTTATAATCTAGTGATTCAACATCTAGTTTGAAGTATTTTCCAAGTAACAAATCCATCCTTGCTCTTAGCTTCCAAAGAAATCATCATCGCTTTGCTCCATAAACTATAATCATTTTCACCTTTGAGTAAATGTGTAACAAGGACAAGATTTAGTGTATTAGAAGGATGTAGGTATAATGGATCATTAACATCTCTAATTGAGCTAACAATTCACAAAGAACTAAAAATTTCAACTAGATTCGTAGTTGGATTCTCTATGATTTTGTCTTGAAGAGTGAATCTATCAAAGAAAGAATTAATAAATCTTGAAGAAGAATCAAGAAATTGGATTGATCCTAAAGAAGAATCAAGAAATTAGATGATGAAAGATTTGTTGCTCGAAGAAGAAGAAAAAGGAAAAATGAATTTTGCAAACTCTTATACCATGTTAAGAGAGAGTAGAAATTGAGAAAGTGATTTCCTGTATTTGTTATTATCTCATCCGGAAGAATCATTTACACCTATATATATTATATTGGAAAATATCACCTATAATTCGGATGTAAAGATCCCTATGTATGTCTATTATACATGTGTATAATACCCAAATGTATCTATTGATGTATATGTAACTACTATTATAAAGAGTATAAATACTACGCTTAATAAAAAGAACATGTATGTGACCATGTAATTATAAATTAAATCTTTCCTTTTTAAAATTTTGGAATTCTTAATAGCATTAATTTACCTAATAAAATTTCCTTTTTAATTACATTGCATATCGTTAAATATATGAGAATGAAGAGGTAAAACACTTTCCAAGATAGATGTATATGTTTTATTAAACAAATAATTGATTGATTAATTGTATAGAAAATGTTAATGGGGAAGAATGTGTGCATGGTTGGTTTTTTTAATAAAATTAATCAACTTAGTTAATTTTTATTATGTATTAATTTATGTCGTTTTTCTTTGATTTCGACATGAATTCAAGTTGCACAACATATGGATTGAATTAAAGGTAGATCTAACGCAAGCATAAGATCTTGGATTGCAAGGATGAATGCAAATATTTTGGTAGGGTCAATGTCTATATCTTGTTTTGGAATGCATTAGAGATATTGATTTGGTGGGCTAAAAAAAAGTCCGCTAAAAGAAAATTTAATTGTTATTATTTTTTAAAAAAAGTTTTTGATAATAAGTTGAAGTATTTTAGCCTAAAAAATTTAAATTCTTTAAGGCAAATCTAACCGTCCAAATTTGGATGGTGTGGCGTGATTCTAATCGTCAAAGGCTATCTTTTTTCATTACAAATACCAACCTCACATCATTAAGAAGGAGAGAATTGTTAGATTCGGAACTTTTGATTTTAACTTTTAATCTTTAGGAAAAAAAGTCATATGTTCTTTTTCAAAATTCTTACTCACACACCTAACAATACTTAAAACTTCATCCGTTCGGACTTTAACTTGCATCTTATTAGCATCGCATGCTTCTCTTTCCACGCCTCTTGCTAATTCTATCTTTTCTATTCGATTGATTGACCATTACTTTTACAAATCATAGCATCACTCTTTGCATCTTTTTAGACTCTAACTTGCGTCACATTAGCACTATATGTTTTTCTTTTCACGTCTCTCGCTATTTGCATTGTTTCTATTTAGTTGGTTGGCTACCGGTTCTATAAATTAAAACACTACTCTTTACACCTTGACTTGTTTATCGACCAATCGTCCGATCAATTCGCAAAAACCTTCCAAATAGAATGAAAAGTTGTGTGATTGTATATGTGCTTTTGTCCGTATATAATAAATATTTTTAGTTTTATTATTAGACTTTCTAAATAGGTTGATGACAACACGACACACTTTAATATTTAATATTGGCAAGCAAGAAAGATATCACTTAGATAAATCTTTTTTTTTTTTTGTAGCTATGATTTATTTTTTACTATTTCAAAATTAATCAATTTTAAGTATAATTAGACAAAAGAAAATTTCATAAACTTTAAGAAATTAAATCAGATAGTAAGTTCAGTTGGGCTGATTTGGCTTAAGAAGGGGTGCAGTGATTGATCAAAAGTTAATTATGTTCTAACATTAGTTTAGCTTAAGAAGCGTTGAAGTGATAGACGTAATTTCACTAGAAGGTATCCATTACATGCAAAAAAAAAAAAAAAAACAACTTTAATTTTAGTACATTTGATAATGTAGTGTATGTATTTTTGCAAAAATGTATTTATATGGAATAAATTCCAAATTTTTTCGACATATGTATATTATCAAAACTATATAAAAACATCAAATTAATACCTTGAGCTCAAATACAATTTTAAAAATAGTTTCAAATACAGTACAATCATGTTAGCAAACACACTGTTAAGTTAACAGGAATCAAGTTAAAAAGGAATCAAATTGTGATGCCTTTTGTCTTCTGTTTGTCCTTCTCTCCTAAAATCTAAATGGAGTAGAATAAGTAATTAACTAAAATTTCTCCTACCTATATTTCTTTCTAAAAAAACAAAAACAAAAACAAAACAGGTGTTGTTTGCGAAGACAGAAGAGCAGCCTTTCGGAGATCTCAAGGGCTTTACCCTGACCCCTCGATGTTTCCGAAGTTCTTTTTAGGCATTAGTCCCCTTCATCCCCAACTTCCTCAAAACCCAACTCTTTGATTCTCCCAAAACACACTAACTCCTTTGAAATAGAAATCAGAGAAGCCAAAAAATAAAAATAAAATGGATACCCTTTATTCCTCGACATGTCGTTCCCCTTCATATTCTGTTTCACCATCATCTTCTTCTTCATCATCGATTAATGGGCAGAATCATCAACGACTAAACTTCTCTTCTTGTATTGCTAAAAGGGTTTTACCAGCTAAGGTTTCTTTTTATTCTCGAAGAAATTCTCATTTAAATGTGGTTCTCAATCAAGATGGTTAGTCCTTTTGGTTTTATTGTTCTGATATATATATATATTTGGTTTAGTTGTGTGGATTGTTTAGCTGATTTATTTGCATGTTTTCTAACATATTTGGTTAGATTGTCTACTTGTACCGTTTCTTTTTTTATTTTATTATTATTTTTTTTGGCCTAATGCTGCTTGAAAATCCAAAAGATGCCCCTTTAATCTGTAGGGCTTCCGTTGTGATAATTTCTGTTTTTTTTCCTAGAAACTCAGAAATAGTATAGAAGTCAGAGAGAATTTTCAGCTTTTATAAGTTCGCCAGGCATTTTTTGAGATATAAATCGATTACTCCTTTTTTTTTTCCTTTTCTTTTTTGTGAATAATGAATATCTATGCCCCCTTGTTTGTTCTCATATGAACGGTAACTGCTTGTAGGTGCAGTGGCCACTCCAGTGACCCCAGTTGAAAATGAGACTCCTTTTAGGAAATGGAAAGAAGGGTTGTTGTCTTCAGTTCCATCAACTGAGGAAATTAAAGAACCAGCTAGTTTTGATCAAAATAAAGATGAGTCAACTGTCAGTATCACTGTGGTTGGAGCATCTGGGGACCTAGCAAAGAAAAAGATATTTCCTGCACTTTTCGCTCTTTATTATGAGGGTTGTCTCCCTAAGGTTCAATTTTGAATTTTTGTCATCTATCTACACTTGAAAATTTGATTCAATAATTGATTGTTTTTCATTCTTTTTTCTTGAGTTTATGATCATATTCATATATTAAGCTGTGAAGCTATTTGGTTGCAGCATTTTACTATCTTTGGTTATGCTCGGAGCAAGATGACTGATGCTGAACTTAGAAACATGGTTAGCAAGACCCTTACTTGCAGAATTGATAAGAGGTGATTTTAGCTCTCTTTTTGTTTTTGGCCGTGACATGAAGCTTACATGTTATAAGTATCTGTGATTTATTTGGAGGTTGGGACGTGATATGTATTGCTGCTTCTGGATTTTCAGGGAGAATTGTGGTGAAAAGATGGACCAATTTCTTAAGAGATGTTTCTACCACTCTGGTCAATATGATTCTCAGGAAAACTTTGCTGAGTTAGACAAGAAGCTGAAAGAACATGAGGTAATGCAATCTGGCTAGCATTGTAACATAATGGAATGTCTCTCTTTTAGTAGTGGTGCTGCTTGGCTTGTAAAATGAACATTTAACAAAATTCTTATTTCCATTTGTGGATCGAAGTGAGGGTTTCTTGATGAGAATATCAATCTTGACTAATGGAGTTAATTAGACATTATGCCTTATTGTTGTCTGTAGACATTCTCTAAGGCGCAAAAAGTGTGCTGATTGGGTGGTAGGGAAGTTTTAGTCTTTGATATTTTTATGCGATACCCAGGTTTTGTGCCCCTTAGCTTATGGGAAACGCACGCTGCTGTATCATATAGTATATTCTTCCATCACCATGCTGGTGTTACCATTTACCATTTCTAGGCTGATTGAAAGAGATCTCGGTGTAATTATGGGTACTTGCAGTGTTGCAGTGCATAAATGAGGTATTTGGTCATATTATTTGTACAACCAGTCACTGTAGGTATGGGTGTGGCAATTTTTCTTGCAAATTGGTGGCATAGTCATATTGCAGGATGCACCTTTAAATTTTAGCACCATTCTTCATTATCATTTTCATGATTTTGCCTTTAAGCTATAATTATTTGGTTTATGGCTGGTGAACTATGCATCAACTGAGTTGCGATTAGTATTTTATCTGCTGGTTAGAATATTGTAAAATGCCTTGTTTTTTCTTCAAGGTTAAGATAATTGGAATGGGGGTTCCTTACCATTTTCTATGAATGGTTCTACAACTTTAGCTATACGATCTGATTCTGTTCGACAATGAAATTTGCATGTGCAGGGTGGGAGAGTTTCTAATCGCCTCTTTTATCTATCAATTCCTCCAAATATATTTATAGATGCAGTAAAATGTGCAAGCTCATCAGCTTCATCTGGTATTGGCTGGACCAGGGTCATTGTTGAGAAACCCTTTGGCCGAGATTCAGATTCCTCAGCTGCTTTGACAAAAGCCCTCAAACAATACCTAGAAGAGGATCAAATATTCAGGTAGAAGATTTCTATACTTAATCAGGTTCTATCGATGAATTTGGAGCAGAGTCTGATCAGATGGATATTCCTTTTTTCAGAATAGACCACTATCTGGGAAAGGAGCTTGTGGAAAACCTATCTGTTCTTCGCTTCTCTAATCTCATTTTTGAACCCTTATGGTCAAGGCAGTATATCCGAAACGTACAGTTGATATTCTCTGAAGATTTTGGCACTGAAGGACGTGGAGGGTACTTTGCATTCTGAAATGAGAATATAGTTTCCAATTCTACATTCTATTTAAGAGCTTACGTTAAAAAATTTTGGATTTGTTGAAATTAGGTACTTTGACAATTATGGAATAATAAGAGACATAATGCAGAATCATCTGCTTCAAATACTAGCCCTCTTTGCAATGGAAACACCTGTCAGTCTGGATGCAGAAGACATCAGAAACGAAAAGGTTATGGTTACTTGCTTGAATGTGAGATTTTAGTATGTCATTATTTTTATTCTTAGTTAAATATTATTTCTTATTGGATTGCAGGTCAAAGTTTTACGATCGATGAGGCCTTTGCAACTTGAAGATGTTGTGGTTGGGCAGTATAAGAGTCACACAAAAGGAGGAGTTACTTACCCAGCATACACTGATGACAACACTGTGCCAAAAGGCAGCTTAACCCCAACATTTGCTGCGGCCGCTCTCTTCATAGATAATGCAAGATGGGATGGAGTGCCTTTTCTAATGAAAGCTGGCAAAGCATTACATAATAAGAGGTCAGCATAACATACTACACTGATGGCAAAATGTATCAGGTTGCTTGATGCATGCTACTAACCTGTTTCCTCAGGGCCATGCAATAGGTTGTATAATACATGCAATTTACTTCTTTTCTCAGTGCTGAGATACGGGTACAGTTCAGGCATGTGCCTGGCAACTTATACAACCGGAATTTTGGAACGGATCTTGATCGGGCTACAAACGAGCTTGTTATTCGAGTGCAGCCAGATGAAGCTATCTATTTGAAAATCAATAACAAGGTTCCTGGATTGGGAATGAGATTGGACCGTAGCAATCTGAATCTTCACTACGCAGCAAGGTAACATTTGAGATCTCTTGAATGCTATACATGAAAAGACTTGTTTATATGCAGCAAGGTCCATCTAATGATATCTTCTTGATTGCAAATCAACTTGGTATGCCATTTGTAGATATTCAAAGGAGATTCCAGATGCATATGAGAGGCTTCTGCTGGATGCAATTGAAGGGGAAAGGAGATTGTTTATCAGGAGTGATGAACTGGATGCAGCTTGGTCCCTTTTCACCCCTGTTCTTAAGGAGCTTGAAGAGAAAAAGATTATCCCCGAGTATTATCCTTACGGTAGTCGAGGCCCTGTTGGGGCTCACTATCTTGCAGCAAGATACAAAGTCAGATGGGGCGACCTTAGTATAGAACAATAACTCACGGGAAGTTTTTGACACTTATGTCTTAGAGGGATAAGAAGAGCAAATCGCTTTGTGATTTTTTCTGTCATTTGTTAGGGTAGTGAATTAATCTTCTCTATTTCCTTGGTTTACAAAAGAGCTCTTGAATATGGTTCATTGAATTTTATTTGAGATTAGGAGGTTCATTGAGCCTTTGATAAATAATGGTTTTAACATTGGCTAGTTATCTTCTAAGCAATAAGATAAATTTAAGATTTTCAAGTTAGAATTCCTGATCCCAAGCCATTTGGGTGCTCGTCGAGGTAATCATCCTTGCATCTCTAATTCTCAAAGGCCGTATGCCTTGAGATATAAATTTCAAGTTGTTGAAAAAAAAAAAAAATCAATCCCTTCATTCTCTATCAATGCATTATCTATCTTTAAAAAGCTCAAATTGTTTATCAATAACTAATATTAATTCATAAAAGAACTAAAATTGAACTTCTTAGAAATTAACCATGCAATTATATATTCATTGAACGATAATGCATCTTCTCAAGGGATAGTTTTCTCAATTGACCTTTTTATTTCAAAATGCATCTGTACATAAAACATTATTCATTTAAGGATAGATTTTCCATATACCTTTTTGTTTCAAAATTTAAAAACAATCCGATTTTTTTATTCTGATTTGTGAAGAATTGAGATGGCACCACATTCTGCATCAAATAAAGTTACGAGTTTACGTCCGAGATATATTTTAGGGTATTTATTTGGTTAGAAAATTCTTGTCTGAAGTTGAGGAATTAATTTATGAAGGTTGAAATACTGATAAAAAAAGGTAAATTATATTTTTATCCTTATAGATTTACTAATGTTACACTTTTCCCTATCGTTTCAAATTTCCTAAAATTATCTTTATAGTTTTTAAGGAGTTCCAATTTTGCCTTTTACTATTGAGTAACTAACAAGATGCTCACTTTTTTTCATATTTTTTTATTTTATTTTTCTCATTTTCCCTCACAATTTCCCAAGGATGAAATAATATCTCAAAACAAACTTAAACACCTAACCAAAAATCAAAAATAAAATTAAAAAGTTGGGTATTTAATGGTTAGAATTTAGGTTGGAACTTTTAGGAAACTAGAAAGATAGCATTGAAAAAATTTTAACTAATAAGGGTATAAATAAACATTGGGGAATCTATAGGAGCAAAAATGAAGTTTACCTGAAAAAAAGTTTATTTTCCTAAGGTACAGCGGCCAGATTTCTATGAATGGAACAACTTATTGCGTTGACTTTATTAGCTGTGACAACGTAACAAATCAATTAACTTTACGTTATGGATACGTGTGCTTTTATGATGGACTAAATTATAGTTTAGTCCCCATGTTTTCAATAATTTTATATGTTAGTCCTCTATTTTGAAAAATAAAAGTTATTCTCCCAACCAAAGTTGAGTATCACATTTTTTTGACAAAAAAATTAAATTATCCTTTTAAAATACCCTTTTAATTTTATTTCTGCTAGGTAAAATTAGAAAATTTGATTACAGATGAAGGATATTGTAGACAAAGAACAATTTACTTGTTATGAAAAGCGCAAACAAAAATCAAGTTACAATCAAATATGAAGACACAGGAATTTAATATTAAGTTTTTTTAAAACAAAAAGACTAACTAATTGTTTCAATAAAAATACATGTATCAAATAATAATTTACTCATCCTAATAAAATTCTTTCCTCTTCCTCTTTTTTCTTTTCCTTCTCGGTGTCTCTTTAGTTTCCTGTAATCATGCAACTTCTTTTTTTTTGGCAGTTCTCATCATTTAGTTTTCTTAAGCATTCAATCCACAGCAACCCTATATACTTCCGTTATTGTTCTAATTATATAGCAAATTGTTTTATGGTCAAAATTATTAGTTTTACCCTTTTTTTCTTTGAAAATTTGCTAACATTTAACACATCGATATGTACTTTCGTAATATTAATAAGCCGTAAGACGACTTCATTGAAATTTTGTTCTGCCTCCACCCTTCGTGGTATTTATTCGTCATAATTATTATTATCTGTATGACTCTGGACGAGCAAATTGAATTAGAAAACTATTAAATAGAGCCAAGACCAAAATCGATCATTTTCCAAAATGAGTGGATCTACTTTGAATTGAAAAAAAAAGGGTCAAAAAGTTGATCCAATGACTGGTTTTCTCTTACTCTATCACATGATGTACTCTTGACAATCGCAAAAATAAAAATGTATAAGTGTGGAGTTGTCACTCATTTTTTAAAAAGTTAAAACTAAAAAAAAAAAAAATCTAGCATTGATTTTAAAAGTTCTATGTAAAGGGATTGAATATACAATTGAGGAAGACCACAGTCATCCTAGTGTGTCATCGTAATGAGATTATCTTGTATTTATAGCTTAAGAAAATTCTTTCATGCAAATTATCTTTCTATCCTGATTTGTGTGTTCGATTATTTGGGTCTTTTCATGCCGGTTCTAAGAGGTGATTTGGAGGCTAAAAAAAGATTTAGTTTTTTTACCTAATATGTCATTGAGTTGTTGGATCTCATTTAGGAAGGTAAAAGTTAGGGCTTAAAGTCTCTTGCAATTTAAACAATCCAAACCTCATACAAAATTGATAAAATAAAATACGATGAACTTGGACCATAGGCTCAAATTCACTTGCCAAACCATGAAATAAAAAAAAATTATAAGTTCATAATAATAATAATAAAAAATGGACATAGGCTTCGAGCCCATATCATCCTACCATGCCACGTTAAAATATTAAATTAATTAGGTCCAAAGCCTAAATTCAAAACTAAATATGAGAGAAGAAAAAATTCGTAACCACAAAAATAAATTAAAATTAACTCAAATCATATAAACAATAAAAATAAAATAAAATAATAAGAAAAATGCCCTTCATTGGACAAAGTCGATCTCAAATCTTAAGCCTACTCTAGATTGAGCTAGACTAGTATCACATCAAAAAAAAAAAAAAAAAAAACGCAAAGTGCAAGACATAATAAAATTAACATGTAAAAAAAACCGCAAATCGGTTAAGACAACACCATGATAATAAAATAGCCAATAGGCCTCAAAAGGTCCTTGGCCTATTAATTTTGATTTGGGCTATTTTAATTTTCTAAAAAAATTTTATCCTATTTCTAGCTTCATCATCAATCGACAATTCCTCATAGACTTTTTATATGAAAAATTAAAAATGCTAGATATTTTTTGAAATAATAATAATAATAAATATGTATTAAAAAAAAGACAAACTCAAAAAATATTAAACACGCTCTACCCTATAAAATCATACTTTTATCACACATGCACATCAAAAAATTTAAATTGGAATCCTTTAAAATTTTTCAAATAATATAAAGAACTCTCAATTCAAATCTTTTCAATTAATCTCAAATTAAGCAATTTTAATTTAATTAATCATCTCAATCTTATGTTAGTCACATAATTGATATTATAAAATATAAATCAATAATAGAAAAAATTGAAATGAAAATTAAACCAAAAGATATTGAAATGCATGGGTATAATTACCAAATATAGAGTTCAGGGACTGAATTGACACAAGCCAAAAAAAAGGCCGAGAGACAGACTTAGTGCGCATTGCACACATTGGACGAGCCACTCTAACGTATAAAGGAGCATGGATTATCGAAATGAAGTCAGACCGACGGTGCTGACTTCGGCTGACTTCGTCTTTTCCTTTTAGTCACGACAGTCTGGCACATGTTGTCTTCCGATGACTGGAGAAGGAGCGGCAATGCTGGGAACGTCGACCTCTGTTTCTCCTTTTTTCTTGTTTTCTTTTCTTCTTTTACGGGGGTAAAAATGGAATGACAACAGCTGCCTCCGTCCTTACAATGCTTACGTGTCAAAGATGTGAGAAGATAAGTCTTTGTACATCTTAACTTTGTGAGTTTGTAAAGAAAAAATATAGCGACAAAAAGAATGGACGACAAAATCAGATAAATGAACCTTTTATGGGTAATTTATTTTTAAGAAAGAAATAAATGAATATATGAACTCTCTCTAAGTGAAGTAATTAAATGTACAATCCTTCTTGAGGAGACTTGACTTTAAAAAGAAAATCAATCAAATATACAAACCCTTTTAGAGGTGATTTGATTTTGAAAAAGAAAATTAATCAAATATATGAACCCTCTTAGAGTATTTTGATGTTAGAAAAAAGAATCCATCAAATATACAAACCCATATGGAGTGGAGAAAAAGCAATAAATAAACGAACCCTTGTGGGGTAAAGAAAATATATACAAACCCTCTCGGGGTGAAGTAAATCCATCAAGTATAAGAACCCTTACAAGGTGATGCAAATCTATCAAATATATGAACCCTCGTGGGGTGAAGAAAATGCCATAAAAATATGAATCCTCTCGAGATGAAGGAAGTCATCAAATATATGAATCCTCATAGGGTGAAGCAAATCCATCAAATATACGAATCCTTATGGGATGAAGAAAAAGCCATAAATATAAGAATCCTCTTGGAATAAAGGAAATTCATCAAATATACGAACCTTTATGAGATAAGAAAAGCTCATTAAATATATGAATCCTCATACGAGTGAAGAAAATTCATTAAATCTATGAACCTTAATGGGGTGAAAAAATATACGAGTCCTTTTGGATTGTCGGAGTGGTTGAAATATGAGTTCTCTCTTTTGAACGATCTTCTTAAGAGAGAAATTGGTCATCTCGACAAGGTGATTACCTTGAAATTTTTTGAAAAACTAGTCATCTCGACAGAGTGATCGCTTGAAGATTTTTAAAGCTTGGTCATCTCGACATGGTGACTACCCGAACATTTTTGAAAAACTAGTCATTTCAACGGGGTGACCACATGAACTTTTTTGAAACTTGGTCATCTTGATACGGTGACCATCCGGATGTTTTCAAACTTGGTCATCTCGTAAGGGTGACCAACCGAACTTTTTAGAAAATTAGTCATTTCAATAGGGTGACCACTTGGATATTTTGGAAAAT